TTTTCTGTAGTGAGACTGCCGATCTTTTCGAAAAGTTACGATATTTGAAACGTGAACCTTCTCTACGATAAACGTTCTCTGTTATAAATTTACGCTCTCTGATATAATAAAGTTTCCACTCATAGATGGCGCTCAAAACAAAAACAGAATGTCGACGATTTTAATTACTATTTTGCTTTAAGCATTACCCATTACTATAGAATTCTAGACCATTTTAACTGTTTACAAATCATTATTTATTTATTTAGTTACTTATTTATATATGTAAGTATGAAATGTATTAAATAATTTAATTGCAGTGGTAAATAGTTTCAAATAATATTGTTTTGCTTTGAGGCATAATAATTGCATTGGCAACAACCCGAATTACTCGTGAAGTTAGCTGCAATTGTTTGTATTCGCTAAAATCAAATTAAAACGGGAATCTGTATAAAGTGAGTCCAACTGAATATTATTTTGTGCATTTCTGCAAATATACATTTATATTTTGTCCCACAAGTTTTTCCAGAATTGAACTAATAAATAAAGGTCATTAAAAATATAGTTATTGCTTCCTAATTTGCTTTGTTACCGAAAAATAGTCAAATGGAATGCTTTGAAAACAAAGAAGCGCGAACCGCTAATTATGGTGACCGCTCTACAGAAGCGCCAAAGTTGTTGAATTGCAATGCAGTTAATCGTGCGGTATTAAAGGAATTGAATTCCAACAATGAAAGCAATTTGGTAAGCCAACAATCAACGTGTTTGAAATAGTGTACCTCCTATAAAATAAAATCATTTTCTAACAAGTGTTCAGATTTTCCAGGAGTTAAAAACATTACTACATAAGAATTTTTCAATAACTAGTGGTTATATTTATATTAAAATGGGTATGTACGGATAGAGGGGGTCCAGATCAAGCAAATATATATATATAACCACTGACTTATCTTTATTGAGTTATTTGTATTTAAAGTTAAAAAAAAAATTATATTTAAAATATTTATAACCAATTTTACACTTATATTTTTTACTTTAATATATACTAACACATCACTAATTCTGCTCTACACAGCTATGTAATACGCTTATAAATAACTTTAATCTTCCGAAATCGGAGGATGATATCCTAAATCTCATCCAATAATTCAATTAGTACTGCTTAGTTTAAAGATTTGTATGCTTATTTTCATAATATGAAATATTACAGTTTGCAAGCTCAATTTATTAAATATATGTAAAAAACGAGGTAACTAAGGGCTTTTATAAATCTCCCAACTATGTGTATACTATTATGCACGTCAATACATCCAGATGTCATTCTTTTCCCTTCAACTGTTGTTTCTGAGGAATGGCCCCTAGATGTTCCTAGGAGACAGTTTTGGTCCAAGCAGATAACTGCAGGGGTGATTTCTGCGAAAGGACTTCATTATTCTTCTTAACTGGTATGGCCCAGAAGGCGAACTAGGTGCAAGTTCCACAGCCGAAGAGGCTAAGGTCACAGAAGTGCTTTGGCAACACAGGGCTACGTAACTTGTGATCCACTCCCTGTGTGTCTTAAGAGCTGAGAAGGTCTTAATAAGGCTCCATCCATTGAATGTATTCCACCTGACCGAGGTGTAGGCGATTTTAAATATATAATCAATGTTCATTATAATTTAAAATACAATAAAATAAGTTTGAACTGTGTATAATGATCTCAAAATAGTTTATGGTTATGAATCCGGATACATTCCAATTACATAGTCCTAGCTTTTGTGCTTCTACGATGTTCTTGTTCAACAAATATATTGCTCGTTGTCACTGCCAAATAAACTATTCAGATTACGCGTAAAAAGAAATTTGACATATCATGTCAAAAGAGAAGACAATCAAATTAAAGCGGACCCTTTTTCTGGTATGAATAGAAATTCAAAATGGCCGATTTCGGAACGAATTTATGGCTTAAAAAAGTGGAAAGAATATCATGATATAATAAATATTAATTTTGTTGCAGCATGAATCAGTAGTAGGACATTAATTTTGAATATATGCACATAGCATTAATTTGCATGAATAGTGTCATAACTGAAAAAAAAAAAAACAATTTTTACGTTGAGCATGCAGAACTATGCGCAATGTCATTATCCATATTGTGTACAAATTGCATATTGATGCATAGAAACATAAACTGCGAGATAAGAACGCTCAGCTTTTATTCAATAAATTTTTGGTATTTTCCTATATTTTCAAAGTAAGAGATAATTGAAAACTTTAAACGGTTGTCGATTTTTTTGAGTTATGCCACTATTCAAGTAAGGAAACTATTTGTCATTGCGCTAGCCTAATTAGCTATCTTTATCAGACAAATATTTCTAATTTGGGGATATAACATAATAAAATCATATGAAAGTACTTTTTTGCTTAAAATTGGATTAAGCTGTTATACATATGTATTGACTGAAAAAACTGTATGCAGATGTTGATCATATTCAATTATATTATAATTTTGTAACTTTAAAGTTCTGCCAACCTCATTTCACTTGCAGTTTTCGACGACGAGTTGGACGCGACCGAGTTTTATTAGACATTATATTTGTTTATTCAGTTCTACGAAATTTTTTTATTTGGTTTTGAATTATTCATGTGTATACAAAAACAGGGGTTTCCAATAAGATTGATTTGATCTGTTTTCAAAAACAAACAAACTAATTGTTAAGGAAATTCAATTATTTTGTATTTAATGTGAAAAACAATCGATACAAATAAATTCTGCATATAACATCATTCAAATGGCCTCCATGACTTCTTTGTCAGAAACGAATTTGATGAACTCAATTTTGCACAGGTGAACGATTACTACGACCATAAAATGCTAAAACGCACGAAAAGTTGCAATTTATTCGATTATTTTGATAATAAAATATATAATTTGAAAACGTTGCCTGGCGTATATCTTTCCAACATTGTAAACATTACTGAATACTATGAAAAATATTACAGATCATGGCATTAAAAATGGCCGAACGACTTAGACTTACTTAGAACACATATCATCCCTATTGGAAAACCCCTTTTGGTACAATATGAGCGTGCCTATGTACGTATTACTTTCTTAAACGAAATGCTATTTTGACTGGTAATTTTTTCCTATTGTGGAATTTATTGCAATTCTTTTTAGCAAATGGGAAGTCGGACCGCTGGGCCATAAAAATACAAACAGTTCGCTCATAGTCATATGTATTCGCAATTATTTTTTTTTATTTTCTTTGCTATATATGACACCATAAGTTGCGGTAGCGCTGGCGACGCTGCAAATGCCTTTTTAATAGGCAGTCCATTTTCGTATGTGCTTCCACTAAGCTATCGAGCTTTTTTACTTGTTTATACACAAAATATCGAATGTTGGCCGGGAGAGTTGTGGACACAATGGAGCGAAGCGTTCTGAACGTAGTCAGCCCATACGGGAAGTGAAATGCTACTTTTGTGTCTAAACCACGAGCAATGCGACTCCATGAAATTTTGTGCAGAATGAAAGCATAGTATGAGTGATCTACAACGTCATGATCGCCGATGCTCTTACTGATTGTTTTGCTTTTATTAACGCTTTTCGGCGTCCAATAACACCGCAGCCAGCCATGCCACCCATCAAACTTTCTGTCTGTCTGCCTGCCCGTCTATCCGATCGTCCACCCGATCAAGCTCGTGCTGCTGGCAGTAAAAGCGCAGCAATATTTTCGCTTTTCTTTTTCTACTATATAGCACGTAAAACTTTTGTATGTTTGAGTAATATGATTTTTTTTTTTGTTTTCTTATAATCGTTATTGAGTTGCTTCTGTCGTTGAACTTTTTTGCTATTTTACATTTTTTGCCAGTTGGTTGTAAGTTTTGACGGAAACGGTTATTCGCCAAATTGCAAACAGTGCTATCTGAATTTTCAATTTTGAAACAAAAAAATAATAATTAAAACCGCTAGTGTGTGCCATGATAAAATTAGTATTATTCTTTTTGAAATAAATATCATATATGCCTTTTCTAATATAAGGCAATTTTAAATATATTTCCGTAAATGTTAAAAATATTGATAAATATTGTTCAATAAAAAGGAGCTATGGGAAATTTAAGTGGGAAGCAAAATTCTAAGGTACCTCCTGATGTGTTATTGTAATGTTTTTAAGCTGGCCATTGGCACAATAAATAAAATAAATTGGTGGGAAATGTACGGAAATATGCACTGTACTAAGTGAATAAATGTCTTCCAATTCGAATTATAAGATATAACCACTGTTTCGATTGGTCTACGCATCCGCAGCAAACCCAAATAATCAAACAGCCACTGAAGCAAATTTGAAAAAAAAAAAAAAGTTCTTATACTGGCTATCTGTGCATGAATACGTTATCTATATGGCAGATCATGTGTAAATAATAGATCATTAACAAATATTTTGTTTACTAAATTAAAAAAAGGTAGTCAGCTACCTCGTAATACGAAAAATTGTCAAGGCAAAAGCGCAATCTCAAATAATCAACTGATCGCGCACATAAATGTGAATTAAAAATAATAAGTTCGTTCTAAGAAATCAACAATAATAAAGCGGTTTCTTATTTGAAATAAAAATTATTCGTCAATTATGAAAATTAAAATCAAACATCTGCATAGATTTCAATTTAAATTTGAAGACAACTGTCGCAATATTTTTTTATAAAATCTGTTGTGTTAACGTGGTTTAAAAGTTGTAGAGGCAGTCAAAAACAAGAAAAGCCTAAAAAGAAAAAGCAAAAGTTCCGACTTTCACGCACATGACGCATTCATATTATAATTAGGCATTAAGGTGTTCATCGGGAGGTTATGAAATGGCAACTTGGACATTTCTGTCACTTGTTGCTAAATAAAATAAAAAGCATGTACCAAAGTAATTGAATTAAAATCCCACCGTTAATGTTCAAAAATATTTGAGCAAAAAGAAAACTTTAACAACCGAATTTAAGTAAAAATTACAAATTTAAGCTAGCTTTTACATACATATACATACTTGCTCTAAATATCCATAGTTACGTTGATTGTGCATTGAACTAATTATATTTATTTTTACACTCAAAGGTCACTTTTAATTAATTGCAATATAATTGATTACAATACATTTTTAAGAGGCGTGAGTATATTGTTATATAATGTAATTTTTCTAACTCCAATTAATGCCGTTGCATATTGCATACATTTCTCTGAAAATAAATATTAATAATTATTAATAAAAGTATTTGAAAGTGTTTCGATTTACGTACATAGTATAATTTTGTACTAATAAATGCAGAAATTAATTCATACCTCAGTATAATTTTGTACTAATAAATGCAGAAATTAATTCATACCTCCCCTATCCGAGTTTTCTGTCTTTTCAGCCTAAGTATATTTGAATTCCTTAGCTAAGGTGAATTGATACCTGAAATGGGTGAAAGGTAGTAAGATTTATTAGCTATATGAAAACACTTAACAGGGTATAGTAAATTTGCACGAAGTTCATAACCCCCACAAGAAAGCGTCGGTTACTCTAAAGTATAGACATATGTATGTATGTATATACCTGATTAGCCTGAGGAGCTGAGGCAATTTACCTCTGTTTGCCTGTATGTATACATATATGCGAACTCCCTCCCTTGATTTAGAAATATCCATCAATATAAAGTTTTTCACAATCCCTTTTCTACCCAGGAAGCTATTGTTTTGTTGTTACCGCCGACATCGTATAACTATATCAACCAAATTTCTGACACCTCCAACAGTAGAAATAGATAAACCTGGATAATAAAGCTGATCACTTCATAAATACCGGGTAGGCTGAAAACAACTCAACGTGCGATAACTCCCAAAATAAATGTGATAGAAATATTTGCATCAAAATTGGACATTAGTCGTGTCACTGCTCACCTATAGGCTATCAGTACCTACTCGATCAATTTTAGAAAAAATTATGCATAATATTACACCGAAATTTTTATGTTATATTAGGGCGAAACCTAACTACAATCACACCTACTTCCAATATATAATCATTTTAAATACGAGATAACGAACATGTAGAACCCAGTGTCCATGGCTAACTTTATGCCGAAAATATTGAGAGAATACGATAATAAAGTGCCCTTTGTATTAAAACTGAGTAAAATATGAATATATAAATATTTATTTAATTTTCGGTTTACTTTAAATCGTATGTGAGTTATTACGAAAATTCATACGAAATAACGGATATATTAAAGTTTAAATCCGAGAACGTGTGAAATCGGTCCACGAATTGCCCAAACTTCCATATACCACATAATAGTTTTCGATATTTTAGTGGACTGTCAAACATGTCGGTCAGAGTGTGAATTAATTTGCGTGGAATCATCTGTGAGTATTGCCAAACATTAAAGGGGAGCTTGCTTTAGAAGCTTCAAAAAATCGATTTTTTTTTTTTTTGCTTAAATCCTGCCCGTCCGGCAAAAGCACATGCCAGATGCATCGGGTAATTGCTTACCAAAGGCAGAATATAAAAGATTTCGTATTAAAAAAATTTACGGATGATGTTTAACTATAAACTCTAGAAATTTCGCTTTAATCAATTATTACTTTCTCTCCCAAAAAATCGATTTTTTGTAGCCTCTAAAGCAAGCTTAATGTAATTTCTTGACGCACTATAAACTACTTTCCAACTTTCCGCATAACTTAAACTGAAAATGTTGGCCAACAAGTTTAATATTTTACTGAAATGAAGTGAATATGTTTGCCAAAGCATAATGTTGTTTAACGGTGATTATAAACTTAATCACTCTACAATTTAGTCCAAACCCAAAATTTTTTTAATATAAACTTTTGCCAAACCTGAAAATATTTCTCCGGCTTTGAGCCCTGTAATTTGGTTTGGTCACCCGAATTTAGCCCTTCCCTGCTAATTTTCATATCCCTTTTAAATGTTTCCTTCAATTGACCACTGTTTTGCTACTGTGCATATAAACATACGCATACATACATATGCATATGTATATGTATCGAATTTAAAATAAAAATAAACCAAATAAGAACAAATCAACCGAAATAAAAATTTGAAAATTGGTGCATAAACACATTAGAACCCAATGAGCATTGTAGCAGTTGCAATACAACAATTCTCAGCAATGTGATCTTTCTCTACACTACAACCCACACCCCCACCACGGCTATTGCCACATTCAAACTTGTCGCCCCGCTTGCGTGGGCAGCACCGTGTATAAATTAGAACAAAAGACACTAACAGTGGCCTCCAGTTCGTGTGCCCACACTTTTGTAATAATTGCACATTCATGCGGCCGCTACCCTCAATCTCTTGCTCTCTTTTCCTGAACATCTGTGCCTAGGCTTTTGTTTTTTAGTTGTTCTCTGTGTGCAAGAAAGCCCCAAGTTGTTGCATTTATCATTTACAAATACGCTTCTGGTATTGGGCCACGGCAAAAAGACTTCTCCACATAGCCTTTCACTCATTTGCTTCGCTCTGGTTCTTGGCTCTGGCTCTTCATGTTTCTGTTGACTTTTGTGTGTATTTTATTTTTTTTTTGTAATGGAAATTTCTTGCTTGTCACGAGGATGCAATGCTGCGACGCTTGTCTGCTCGATATTGTAGTTTGGTGCTGCTATATTTAGCCAACTGATGCCAATGTGTAAATTCTATTCTTTTTACTTGTTTTACCTCATTTCATTTAATTTCTGACGTTGGCGCGCCTCTATCGTGCCTATGCGCTTGCTCATTTTGACAGGCGAATGTGTGACTGTGTTTATATATGCACATATTGTAACAATGTATTCTGTCCGATCAAATTGTATACATTTACCAGCTACAAAACGGTTTTTATTGCTAACAGTGAAAAAGTTCAAATATACAAAGGGCTTGGATGTAGACCAATTAGAAAGAGAATAACATCAGTACGTTTATTCCAACTTTATACTTAATTGATAAAAACTTGGTGACCGGACTTCTTGCCCGAATTGGAGTCCCAGTAGTTTCAAGCAGGCTGATGATTTTCAATGAAAAACCTTCTATACCGAGCAGCGATGTTAGTACCCAGTTTTGACATGATGGTATAAAATTTATCCATAAAGGCATTGAAATAAATTATATACATAATTCTTGGCATATTTTGGACATGTTTCTTCGAAAGATGTTAGCTCCATATAAGTTTTTTGAAAGAATTAATGAATGTCATATATTTACAATCCTTATTGTTTCGCTTATTCCAAAGTTATGCGCCTTCACATCCCAACGAACGCGAAAAGCAAACGTATGCCATATACATACATATATTTTACATTCAAATCATAACACAAACAATATTACATTAAATTTTTAATTTAATTAGCCCTCCACACTCCTTGCTCCCTAACACTCAACCCATATTGTTGTATTATTGTAATAGTGCAGTTCACCCCTGTCTGCTTTACGTAGTCTTTTATTGCAGTCACTTATGCACATTCCAAGGTACATGCACCCATGTCGTTTGCGCTGCACTTATTAGCACCGGCTCCACTTAGTAGCTTGAAAGTGCTGCAAGTGTTACTCTCTACACGTTGACTCTTTAGAGCGCTTCAACTTCGTGGTCTTGGATTGCAGCGCATTTCTTCTGTTGCCTATATTCTTCTGAATGCTCATTTTTCTGCATTTTATAGCGCATATGTGTGTTTGTGTGGTATCTTATAATCAGAAGACAACCAAGTCACTCCCACCTCTCGAGAAACCATTGACTGGCGGTTCGCCTGCTGTTGTACATGATTATTCGTTGTTGCACCATGTTGTCGGCTGTATCACCATCGCATCGCATTACACTACATTACAATTTGTGTTGCGCTTAATAGTTTTGCATTTTTGTGTTCGTTCATTGCTTGATTTTGGTTTTCGGGAAGTGCTAAATCTATGAACTAGTTCGTGTGCTTTTAGTGCAACTAAATATGCGAATTTCGTCGATCGAAAACTTATAGAGTGGATATAATTCCATATGTATATAGTATACGTATGTTGTGCATATGTTGCAGCGGAAATCAATCCTATTTATTTTGGACTATTAAATGTGAAACTGAACAAACTGAAAAATTCTTAAAACTTTATTAAGTGGCTGAAGTTAAAGGGCTAAGAGGTAAGAGGTTTACTATATTACAATATTTTTCTCTGTTTTCGCATTTTTTTTGTTATTAATAAGTTATTTGCTGATGAAAGTGAGTTTTCATTACTGAACAAATAACGTATCGCGTTGATAAAATATTAATTGATAATATTTTTAGTAAGAGCCATTGTCCATGTTAGTTTTTAAGTAAATAAATATTATCATCTTCAGCAAGTGCAAGAATCTGAGTGGTTGTTGTTGTTGTAACGGCAGAATCTGAGTGGTAATTTTCGTCACTCAGCAGTGAGGCATCCAAGAAATATTTTTGTGGAACTTCTTAAAACATCAATCGAAAAATAATTCAGTCCTATGGGTAAAGAAACTTAAAAAACGTTCATCTCATCTCCAATAATTATTTCAATTTAGTTAGAGATGTCTGGTTTTCATATTTTTAAGAAATTTTTACGTTGGTCCTAGTCTCATTTGAAAACATATAAAATTCATAAGCTTAAAAGTTTAACATGTTTTATAATTTAAGAATTCTAGCCTTGGGTGTCAATTAATTAAGAAGTACTTTATATTACTGTGAAGCTATCTGGTGTCATGCAGAAAGTTACAATGAGGATATGTTTCGTTCCGGTAAATATGAAAGGGATACATCAGAATTAAGCAATTATACATATATTAGGTTGTCAAATATCTCCGTTCCGCTTTTTTGCTCTTTATTCAATGCTCTATAAAAAGTGTTACAGTGATCGGATTTAGTTCAAATATGAGCTGTTTCGTTCAATAATCTGTTTCCATTTAGACGGCAACTTCAGAACAACCCCTTGTAGAAGCCCACCTCCTTATTTGCGCAGAACTCGGACAGACTCGGGTGTCGCCATGGACAGGAACAGGTGGTAATCACTTGGCGCTATGTCCGGGCTATATGGTGGACGCTATAAAACCTCCCATCCGAGCTCCCGTAGCTTCTGACGAGTCATCAACGGAGTGTGTGGTCTGGCGTTGTCCTGGTGGAACACTACACCCTTCCTGTTGGCCAATTCTGGTCGATCGCCTTCAAACGGTTCAGTTGTTCGTAAAAACACACAGCAAAACGTTTCTGGCTGTCAATCCCGGCCTTGCCATTGTTTGGGACGATTCAGCGGCCTTCGACCACGACCGTTTTTGATCGATATTGTCGTATGTGATCCATTTTTCGCCAGTCACCAACCGTTGAGTTCGTTCCGTTTCAACAACATATCGCAGGCGTTGATTCGGTCCAGAAGGTTTTTTTGCGTCAAATCATGCGGCACCCAAACATAAATCTTTTTTGTGTATTCAGGCTTCTGCAGGTGGTTTAATATTGTTTGGTGACTAACTCCCATCTTCTGGACGATGTCACGAGATGCCACATGCCGGTCTAACTCGATGTTTTCCATGATTTGATCGGATCGAACTCGGATTCGTCGAAACCATTCCTCCGCAGTTTGAAGTGATAGAGTAATCCCCCAAAACACCATTAATCTCACGAAACGTTTCTTTAGCGGATTTGTCTTTAACGAAGGAAAACTTTAAAGTAGCGCAAATTTCGGACTCCATGTTTACACGTCTATAGTTGTTGAACGCAATATCCAAACTAATCATACAAACCATGACCTTTCAAAGATGTATCGTATTGCCAGATACGAGCTCTGTAGAGGATAATATGAAAAAAAAATTAAACTATGATACATTTTGTAATAAAGCTAATTTTATTTAGTAACGCATGTATTAGATCAGCGATGCGGGAAATTGCATCTGCTGCGCCTGACCAACAGTTGACCGACGGTAGGCTTTCATGTGGGGATCGTCCCTTGACCTAATTATTTCTAGGGGAATTTCTGCGAATGCGTTCGCGAACAGTTTTTATGGCTGTATTAGTTCAAACCGCACAAAGACGGCCACTTATTTTTCTGTCATCAGATGTAGATGTTTAGTACGAAGTATTATATTAATACTACGGTAGACAAATATTCTCAAAATAATAAAATAAATAAAAAATAACAATAAAAAGCTTATTCGCGGTTGTACCGAAGTTATCAAAGCCTTCACAATTAAATACACTTCATCCTAAAAGAATTCAGAAATTGCACCGTTGCATTAGAGAAAAGCCCATGCCAAAACTCGTAAAGATATCTCCTCTAATGAAAAAGTTTCCAAAGAAGCGCTTGATTCCGATTGATAAGTTTGTATGCTAGCTATATACTATAGTAATCCGACTTGCACATGTTTCTTCGGATAATGCACTATTGATGAAGATAATAAACCAAGACACATTTTTTAAAGACATCTTGTCGACTGAAGAAGTTTTCCACCAAGATAATAAACCAAGACACATTTTTTAAAGACATCTTGTTGACTGAAGAAGTTTTCCATACTAGCACTTGATTCCTTTGGTATGGCAGCTATATAATCCTATTATTCCAATCTGAACAATTTATTTTTAGAATGCAACATTGTGTTGAGCAATAACCCATCTGAAATTTCGTGACGATATCTCATGCAAGGGCATGATTTTAATAGTTTAGTTTGGAATGAGCCGAGAAATATTGAGGAGTCACGTTCCAAAAAAAAATAACATACTTGTACCAGCATTCTTCTATTATTGCTGCAACCTTTCTTCCTAGGTTAAAATAAGATTTCTTATACGAATCCATAGTTCAATTAAAATTTACTTATTCTTTTAATAAAAGAAAAATTAATAAGCATCTATTTTATTTACAATCTTCAATTTGTTGAACTGTGCATTCGAAAATTAATTAACTAGTCAATTTTCGGACATTAGACCAACCCCTTTGTAACGCCGAATTTGCGAATGAAAATGAATTAATGAAGTCACGAAGCCGTGCTGATAATAAAATTTAACGGCAACCATCAACGGTGGAAACACAATCGCGGCATCCACAATAAATTAGTCTCACTGATCTGGTTGCCGATCAACGGCGCGATGTGATTGTACATAAACATTAGACGAGTGTAGTTATTGCGAGAAAGAAAACTGAAATGAGCAAGAGATCAATCAAGAGCGGCACAAATTAAAGAAATAAAGAAAATCGTGGAAAATTTCAATTCGATTTTGAACTTTTATACCAACATATACACAACTACAGTGAAAGGTGCTTGTTGATCGTAATTATCGCACGACAACGGCGCAATTAATAACTCAGACTGAGCAGCTGGCGAACGCCCGCACTTGCGCGCCACAGGAACAGCCTCCTCGAACATCTCTCGAATAGTTCATTTGTCTGCTTACGTTCAATTGTGGTTGCGCTGTTCAGACCGTCGCATATAATTGTGTTTACTCGAGTCCAAACTACACACATACATATGTACATACCATACAAAAGTATATGCTCGATCATATAAAAATACTCTGAATATTTTCGTTGAACTCACAGACAAGAAGCAACACCATAATTTTCAAAAATTTATATTTCCGTTTGAAGTAAAGAACTGAAAAAAAAAAAAATAAATAATTATATGAAAATAAAATAATTTGAAATTGTTTTAAAAAAGTAAAAGTGGTGCCGACGATCGCGACAAAAATTTTTACAAAGTTAATGGTGCATGTAGCAGTGATCCCCGGATCGCACAATATTTTTTAATTACGTGATTCTCTAACCTTTTTTGTTGTGAAAAAGAAAATATCGGCGAGCAATTTCGGCGGTATAGGAGGGCGTGACGCCACGCACTATAGGCGTTAACGTAAATAGCGTAAATCAATCGTGCGTGCTAAATGATTTTCACAAAACAAAACAAATAATTAAATTCAAATACGCAAATATAGCAAAACCAAAGGCATAAACCCGAGAAAAACGCATTCAGCAAACTTTTAAGTTGTCACAAGCTACCGAAATAAAACTCAAGCGCTTCTACTATAAAATTCGCAACCATATACAATGGAGTTCATTTCAAATCTTATAAAACGACCAATAAGTTTGGTACGCAGCGATTCCCTACCACCAGCGTCCAACGAGCCAAGACAAGATACAAGTAATTCACGTCCTATCTCACCGAAACAAACGCCGTCACCATCACACTCACCATTATTGACCTTTGATCGAGCCACCACGCCGGATCCACTACAACAACATTTAGTCAGTTCGCTGATGGTGACATCCAATATAATCGAAGCAATGAATCGACAAGACGAATTTCGCCCCATTACTGTGGCAGCAACAACACGTGCCTCTCTACCAATCAGTCAATCGCCTACACAAGCACAGTCACATTCTTTACAAACAAGCACCAGTAGCAATGTCAGCGCAGGTGGCAACATGAATCCTCCGTCCAACAACGTTGGCAACACAATCGAGGAGTTGCTCATAGAAATCAATAACAATTTAAGCAAACAAGATGATCTACTTGTACATACCGCCGGTGCACTAAGTCAACATCATTTGCCGAATCGACCATTATCATTATCTCCAACTGCTTTGACGCAGCCATTGGCGACTGAGGTATGTGATATTGCGCGAAACTACAGCATTCATGCCATATGCATTCGTGCGTTCTAATTAGTTGTTAATTACAACTTAATCTATTTAATCTGTTCATTTGTTGTGATCGAGGTTAGTGTGTCACTGTTGGAAGCTTTCAAGTGAAAGATCACAGTTATCAATGAGAGGTGTAAGCACATTCAATGTTTTCAGCGCATAAAAAAGACGTCAGTTGCAAGCCTGTAGCATATGTTCCTATTTATGGGCGTTCTTAAATGTATTATTCTGGAAACAATTCTATATCTAAATTTGTATTATTGTAAACTTACTGAATTTTCGTTTTAAACGCGTACATTTTCCCAAATCTACTACTACTCTACCCAAATGTTTTGAAATGTGTACTATCATTATAGCTAAATAGAGGACTTCAAAACTTTACAAACGCGTCGACGTGACAACCCTAAATAAAGCGACAAATTTAGGTCAAATTCTCACTTAAATTATAAAATGTATGCAAAATAAATGAAATGCAGAACGAATTAATTTATTAATAATACTCACATCCATTTGTACAAGCATTAAATATCACGCGTCAAGAAGTTTTTCAGAAAAATTACAATATTTCGGTTATCTGCTGCTATCTTCACTTCTTAGCACTCTGTCAAAATCAAATTTTGCAGCGCTGCCGCCGCGCACTTTTTTTTAGATAAGCGCCATACAAAAATTATGGACATGATGAATTTGTGACAATAATTAATCGCTGCGGCTTTTACTTATGGACGGCAGTAAGAGCGATTTTTGCAGAAGTTGCGGGCTCCAAAACCAACTTATCTGCGAAGAAGAGGAGGAACGCAAGAGCGCCTGAGATGCTATCTGTATTCTATTCTGTGACTCTGTGGTGTAAAATCCAGAGCACTTGCTCCTCCACCGTTACACAATGCATTAAAAACCAAAAATTCTGCAAACAGTTTGCTTTAAATCTAACATAATTTAATGTAAACCAATTTTGATTTATTTGCTCCTTTTTGTTTCCACGTTTTATTAAAAAACAATTTTTTTTTTTCATAGTATATGGGGTCGAATCTACATTTGAAAACTTTACGGGATATATTGTGCCCACTTTTTCTTAAATGCAGTTTTAAATTGAAATATGTTAAGAAAAGGACTTTAATTAACCGTATATTATTGTAATGCAAAATTCTGCACCAAAGACTATTGTTTTCTGGTTTATGACCAACTTCTGTCTGTGTGTGATTTTATCTATTTTAAACTAATTAAGCTATCAGAGGGTTAATTTGGTTAATTTGCAAAAATGTAATTAATTAATGACATGTAATTGTTTATACTTACTGATACTGATGAGTAGTATTTGCATTTGCATATAACTAAACTAAACCAAAGCGATTCGAATACACACCCATTTCATAGTCGTTCAATAATTATCTTTGTGGCCTTTTATGCCGCGTCGTTATTTTGTAGTGTGGGTTAGTTATGGTCACAGAAACTAGTGTATAAACTATATTATAGTGTTCATAATACTAGCAGAGTTAATAAAAAAAAATAGTGAAACGACAATAGACCTAGAACCCACTAAAAACAAAAGGATCAATAAAATAAAATAATAAATCAATAAAAATTAAAAAATACATTATTTTTGAATTATATGGAAGGTTTTATTCAGGATAGTTATAATGCTACGATTTGGGTATAGTATATGAATAGTTTTGTTCGATAACTTGCTGCCCCTTTGAAGATGATTTCATAATGTCACTTTCATTAAAATTTCTCGTCCCTATTGGCAATTGCTCTCTTGAGACAGTCCGTGCCAATTGACTACAGTTTGCGCCGGTTCACCTCGATTTGACGACAACCCCTTTCGCTTGAAATTGTCGTAAGTGAGCAAGTTTTGTTGCGATTCAGCGGCAATTCGCTGATATAAACTTGGTCCATGAGGTTTTGTGGCATTAACCTAGTATTTATGGGAAAAGTTCTTTAGTACGAAAACGTATATTTCTAACTTCATGCAACGTAGCCCGATACCTTTTATATAACGCGAGGCACTGGTAATAAGTAATAATTGCACAAATGGAAAGCCCACAAAGTATATATTTCCATCACTTATTGTTGTTATGTACACTTTCTTTTGACGCCAAAGGTATGAAGTATTTTAGAATTTCTGTTCATAGCTATTATTGTTTTTGTTTATTATTGTTTTTTTCCCCATAAACTTGAAGAGTATTAAATACCATTTAAAAAAAATCTATAATGTGATGTATTATATCACAAAAACTTAATAAAACAAGCAATGTAATAAACAAGTGTAGTTGCTTTTGATGCTGACTGTGTATGCATATGGTTTACAGTCGAATATACAAGTATATATAAAATACATATCGACATACATACATATATGAGTAATATCAAATGTTTTCAATATAAATTTGTTGTGCGTAATTCGAGTTTGTTTTATTTTAAATTCGCATTTTGAATTGGGATAGTTTTTTCAATAATACAATAAATAGCGAGTCTTATAATATACAAATTATGTGATGTCTTATACTTTCCCTATTTTACACACGACTGTAAATATCCACTCACAATACGAGCACGTAAAATGCTTTGTGTGACTTTAACCTTGCATTGCTTTTGCTAATTGAATTTCGAGTACATTTTCCCCCCAAAAAAGTAAAAAACAAAAGAGAACGTTCACTTCGATTGCACCGCCGCTAGAACACCTTTCACGAATAAACAAGTTTCCATACAATAACTTGATTATGATTGTTCAGTTTGTAAAGCTGCTATATGCGGACTACTAACCGATCTGAGTAACTTGTTCGGAGATTATGGCGTTGCCTCACATAAACCTATGGCGCTTCAGATATAAAAGTTTTCAAAACAAGGACAAGTTTGTATATCAGCTATGTATGTATGTATATGCTATGGTGGTCCGATTTGTTGTAACGTTTTAGCGTTGTTTTGAACAAGAATTAAAGAAAATACATCATAAAATAAAAAACTTTTCCACACAAGGGCTTGATTTTGATCGTTCAGTTTGTGTGGCAGCTGTATGCTATAGGTATCTGATATCGGTAATTCCGACAAATGAGCAGCTTTTAGGAGCGAAAAGGACGTTAGCCAAATTTCAAATCAATATCTGAAGGACTGGCTTGAGTATATAGTATACATACATATGAATATGGCTAAATCGACTCAACTCGTAGAGCTGATATTTTAAAGGATATCCGACGTTTTCATCAGAGTGTTACAAACTTCATTTCAAATTGGATATGTCTTGTTCGGGGTATAACAAAGGTGGTGCTGTTAAAATGCGCCAAGGAAAACAATAGGTTAATACAAAATAGAGGGAACTAGGTACACATTTGACTTAGTGTGAGCAAAGCCAAAAAAATGCAGTCTATGCACATACACTTAAATATATCGTTTTGCAAATAGGCCGCCATAACAGTCAGACGCCACCGCCAATTTACTACATAATATATGCATACATACATATGTATATGTATACATATACATACATACACACATTATCTCAAATTAATTGCATTTTGCTACAGAAAGGCAAGGCTGGTCGTCTAAAGCGTATAACCATGAGTGCCGGTACAAAGAAGATGTTACCGGCGGTGGTGCCCGGTCTAGCCTCAGTGAACTGAATTGTGTTGCCAGTTGGCGGGTTGCCTGCGAAAATCACACGAAATGCAGATTTTAAATTTACATAAAAACCAAATAAAACGTATTCATTTGCGAAATAGGCAACACAAATTGCGTTTTATTTTATATTCAAAACTATCAGTAGCGACACGACCACTCTATGTCATAGACACATGGGTGAGTGTTGTTGTTGTTGTAACAATTGCTTGGTGGCTGCAGCGCCATAAGTTTATTTTGAAAATTTCTAAACTAGCAAGTTTCGCTGCACCTGTCTTAGCCTGTTTGTGTTTTGATTTTTCTTTTCATGTCTGCAATGCGCGCACCTAAATTCGCACACAATATCATATTTATAAATTTCACTGTCAAAAGCATGTAAAAAATCGAGAAGGATGCAACACTCCTGCTGCACTTGGTGGCTTTGTTGTGTAGTTCATTTACGAAATTTCTTCACGGTCGCACACACGTGAACTTCACACATTAACTAGCTCTTGACATTGGAAAAGTTTTAATTTTTATTTTGGCTTGATTTCATTATTTACTCGTGTTTTATTTCATTGCAGTATAACGCAGTTTGCTCGCAAAACGCAAATCTCAAAGCCACGCCCTCAACACAATCCACAGAGTCATTGTCTTCGTCGTCGTCGCTACTAAAATCAACTGCTATGGCACCTGTGGCTGATAGCGTTTCTACAACATCTTTTACAGTCACCGAAACTGAGCCGAAAGCAGGGTCTTTCGATGGATCCACTCCAGTATCGCTTAAAACGGGTGCTAATATAGATATTAAATGCGGTATGCAATATTAAACTAAATTTTGATTTACTTTTTTATTATTCGAATTTTTTTGCAGAGACAGCCAGCGATTTGATTGAAACAAAAACACCAGAAATGCTCACAGCGCTTAATCTGAATGCGGAAGGTAAGCTTAAGCACAAAATAAGTTTCACAACTTATCCTCCTTGGGAAAACCAAGTCAGTCAGTTTAAAACCACATCAATCTGCTTAAGGGGGAGCCTAATTTAGAGGCTTCAAAAAATCGATTTTTGATGATTTTTTTGGGAGGGAAAGAATTAAGTGATTAAAGCAAAATTTCTAGGATTTATAGTTATATATTTAAACATCATTCACAAATTTCTTGAATACGAAATCTTTGATATTCTGCCTTTGGGAAGCAATTGCCCAATGCATCACGCATGTGCATTTGTCGGACGGCGGGCAGGATGCAGGTCGCAATTTCTATCTGAAACAAAAAATTCGAAAAGATTCATATTTTTTAATAATTTATCTTCTAGTTAAACTAAATAAATTCCAAAACAAAGTGTAAAATTTTATAAATTTTTTAAAAATTTAAAAAAAAATGGTTTTTGACAAAAAAAAATTTAAAAAAAATGTATTTAATTTTGTTTAAAAATATGTTCAAACCTGACTTTTCTTAGTTTTTTTTTTAGTTTAAATAGAATATAATTGAATGCCAAAGATAATAAACTTTGGCCCAATTCCATGCACGTTTAGTTTTTCCTATCCTGCCCGCCAATTAAGAAAAATCGTCAAGGTTTTCGCTATAACTGCTAGACAATCGGTTACTATTTTCCTTCTAGCTTCCAAAATATTTTAAATTCCTTTAAAAACTTGGGGGACATATTCTTTGATTATTTTTAAAGAGATTTAAGCAAAAAAAAAAAAGATTTTTTGAAGCTTCTAAATCAGGCTCCCCCCGTAAAAATGCCATCCTTTTTGTTAAACTCTTAGGGCACTATTATGTTGATGAAGCTATTTATTAGAACAGTTCCGGTTCTTCTGTGACATTGCTTTTGAAATAATTTGGGGCATTCTGCTTTGATCGGTTTGAATCGATTATATAATCGAGTATTTTCCGATTATGTAGAAACGGCTAAAGTCGAAACTATTATTCTGAGGGAGCGTTAAGTATATATATTTTTTAAATTACATAACACTTTTCTAGATTATAAACATGTTGGCTATAAAGCAATGTTTTTCGTAAAATTTTGGGAAGTGCATGACGAATGTGCTAACACTATTAATTTACCTAAATAAAATCCATTACTTTTTATTTGGGCTCTTTAAGTATTTTTATAGTACTGAGTACTTTCAATTAATTCTGTTTGTACTTTTCAAGTATTTATTTTCAAGTTGAGAAGTGGTGATACTCAGGTAATCCCTCATCGTGTAGCAAATGCAATTCATTATACATGATGAAGGAATGAATTACTTATAATGTTTAACTTATTTTATACATTTTAGATCGCGCAAAACTAACTTTTGAAGACGGTCTTATACCAACATTAACAGCAGCCATAAGTGAGCATGAAAAACATGACGGCACTCTTGGAAAAGGTAAGTCATAAGATAAAAACAATCTCAACATTATCTTCAATCTTTTCTATTTTTATCATTTAAATGCTTTTAGGTAACTCAAATTCGGCTCAGTACCTGATGGTACAACTTGAACCGGACACCGCTGCCTCATCGGACAATGAAACCTTCACGGAATGTCAGTCCTACCAAATCGCGTCTGCTAACGATTATGGTTTTATAGCGGATGAATATAGTTTTGAGAACTCCGAAATCGAATCATACTTTAGTGCTGCTAACTCAAGAAATGCTACACTCACGACAGGTGAAGCAGATCCTTTAAGTGTTACTATAAATAAAACGTCAGAACAAAATGAGAGTGAGCAAGGTGACTTGCAATCACAGGTTTCAGCTATAAGTGGTGACGATTTGTTAGCAACGCACCAACATTCATTAGATGTAACCTTCGATGAAGAACCAATGGATGTGGATGAGAGTTTTACTGAGTTAAAACAAAATGTAAACGTTGAAACATGCCAGTTGCATACAACTAATGTCGGAGTTGATAATGAGTCAACTTCGAAAACAGCAGAGCCGGAAAGTGTTGTTACTAATGGCGAAGCGACGGAGGTTAAGCAACTAAATTGTACTAAAAACGAAGCTGTCCCCAAAGATGCTGCAGTGCCTCAGCCCGAGACCGAGTTAGAAATTACACAATCAAAACTTGAGTTGTCACTAAACAAAAGTATCGAAATACCCACATCAACAACGCAAAAGAACAATTATGAGGACAATCAGCTAGATATCAGCAGTACTGAAACTTTTTCGGAAGTAACAGTCGATCTTACCCAAGCAACAATTGCTACGACATCATCAACTTCAATTCACTCCGCAAATACCAGTTTACATCCCATCGAAGAAGAGTTATTGAAATATAAAATTCCAGGTAAACAAGAATTCGGTAAGTCCTGGACTGGTTCACAAAATGCACTAAATCTGACAGTGGATATGGACTCATCAACGCAAAGCAATAAAAGTTCCGCTTCCTCACCAAGTTTCCCTATAAAACATAAGGGAAACTCACTCAAACAATTTCCACGCTCGCCCACTGCAGCCGTACCAAAAAGTATGACATTTTTAGAAAAATCGGAATACACTGAGCGTATTGAAACAGAACGTAAAAAATCTACAGCCAGTGAGCCGAAGCTGGAGTTATTCGGTTCACGCAAAACATCGACAGTCGACGAAAAACCAACACAGCATGCAATAACGGAAAATCTTGCTGCATGCATTACCAGCACTACGGTATGTCCAAATGAGCCTAATAATGATGAAGTTGCGTCAACAAAAATAAATGGCAATGCAGCAACGGATGAAGTTGCACCTTTAACAAGTGCTTCTTCAATAGACAGTTCAGATAAACGTCGTACATATAATGTAACGGCTCCAGTGAAACCTTCTCCTGAAATAGAGAGCGTGACACAAAAATGTGTGAACGATCACGAGAAACGACGCACCTTTAATATGCCTGCAGCACCGCAAGCACCAAGTATCGTTGGACAAAAATCGGAAAGAGACGAGGACAAACGACGTACGTTTAATATGCCTGTATCAACACAAGAAACAGACATGACTACCCAAAAACCAGAGAATGAGGGCAATAATCGACGAACTTTTAATCTTATGGGCTCAGAAGATATAATAGAGAAGAAAATTTCAAGCGAAAATAATTCTGATACAGCCGAGAGGCCTCGAACTTACATTGTTTCTGAACCAACATTTCCGATGAGACCAAATAGTGAGGGAATAAATGTGCCTATGGACATAGACGACACATTACCAACAGATGCTGGTCAAAACAACACAACACAATCCCGAACACCAATGCAGTCCCCCACAACAACTGTTTCTAGTTCGCCACCAATACCGCCTTTACAAAATCGTATTGGAAACACCATTCCAACAAACACCTCACCCCCAATACCGACACTACAAAATCGGGCACGAAATGACCAAACCCAACTTATTATGGATGATGATGCCTTTAAAGTGCCACTACCGCCATCGCCAGCATCATCGACGGCATCACCACCAACAGCTACCATACATAAACGACCGTCTATCCATGCGTACAAAAATACAGAAGATGTCGTTGAAGCGTTATCCGCCAAAGAGCAAACCAAACGCGATGCCAGTGATGAGAAGGATGTGTTCGCTGGCAATTGTACACCCTCACCCATGGAAGAGCAGCCATCTTCAACAAGCAATTTTGGTGATTTCGGCTCTAATTTAAACGTTGATGTGGATCAGCAAGAATTTGCAAGTGAGCAATTTGAGAATGGGAATAATTGTGAGTTTTCGTTGTTGTCTTTTACCTACTTAATACACTAACTTAACTGTCTAATGTACTGATTTTTTGGAAAATTTAAACCTCACTACTATCCGCCATTTCTTTATGCATGCACTTACATACTATACATATATGCAATACCACCTACTATACGTCATAGTTGTAGTCGACTCGCCATTTCTTCATTCAAATGTGGTCTGTTGTTCACATGTGTTACATTTCATTGTAACACTATTGTTGTTTCCCCCTTCATATAACATTTTTCGCAAGCTTTTACCACTGTGTTTTAAAATTACTCTGCTAGCAACCCACGTCCAATCTCATATGCACTTCACCTTAGCAACTCCTTCCTACAGCACATTCAAATTGCAATGGCAAAGAATAAACATCAACCGGTATTTTCTGTTTGCTATACGAGTATATGTGTGTATATGTGCATACCGATCACTGCGGCATGCCACACAGCTTTTGATTTCAACACATCGCCATATAAAAACAAATCAAGGCCATGACTGCAATTGAAGAGCGAATGCGCTACATAGAAAAACAGTCAAGTTACCTACCACTCTTTTCACGGGTTTTCCTTCTTCATTGTGGTAGTTGGTTGCAGGGCGGTTCTGACCTTCCGCTCGCACAGGCAGGAGCGTTTGAACTTGAAAGCAATAGAAAAGTCCACAGCTAATTTACATATTTATTAGGCCGGTCATGCGGTTGTCACGACACCAGACCAAATAAATACCTTCACACACGTAAGATGTTTGTGGGGTGAAAGGTATTTATTTTTTTGCGAAATAGAACAGAAAGTAAAAAAATAAAAAATAATATAGTATATCAGTATTGTTGTATGTATGTATATACAGTGTCATACATATATATTAAAATAAAAAAATTGTTCAATCTTCGCCAAAAAATTAAAAAAAAAATTATACAAATGAAATAATCTTTACTTTCAATCTATACTATCTGTCTCTTATACACATCTAGATGTGTATAAGAGACAGTGTATATACAGTGTCATACATATATATTAAAATAAAAAAATTGTTCAATCTTCGCCAAAAAATTAAAAAAAAAATTATACAAATGAAATAATCTTTACTTTCAATCTATACTATATATTGTATCCTCCTTCCTTCCTTTTATTTTACTCTTCGTAAAACGATACACTGTCAGTGAGTTTGCTATTTCCACACCTGTAATACCTTCCCTGGAACTCACAACGGTTTATTTGTGGTGTTCTACTATGCGTTAATACAACGGTGTTTTTTCCATGCCACTCACTGCCGCCATTGCAGCTGCTTTAACACAGCGTTCTCCGCTCGTCATACGTGGTATTTAAAGTCAATGACAACATTAGTACTATAGGCTAATGACAATAGATTTTGTTGTATTCGCTAAAATTCCTTTCCACGTTTTATTTCTTTTGTTTAGTATGACCACATATGTATATACATACATACTTACATTGATATGATTCAATTTACTATTGAATTTGTTTATGTTTTGGATAAAAAAAAACAATGAAAATTTTAAGTTTTAATTTTAAACCCTTGGCATTTTAGTGTTAATGAACAAATTTTTGTTTCATATACATAATTTTTCATTAAGTTGTATATGTTCTAAATATAAGTTATTACCAATTTACCATTTGAATCGAATTGAATTATTCAAGAATTTTGTATATTACTATCCCTTTGAGGATTAAAGAAGTGTACATTTATTCGGCAGTGAAGTAAAGACAGGCAGCAATTTTAGCAAATTCAAAGTAAAACTAATTAAAAATATTGCGTAATTGTTTCTTCATATGTTTAATTAGCTTGTCTAATTTTTACCTATTCCTATATTTTTTAAAATTGGTATTTTTTATTTACAAATCATACATATTTATATCAGTTGTTAATATCCCATTTAAAAGTTTTCATATAAACTCAATACTGCTAGAAATGCAACTCTGACTTGTCAATCAGCCCATATGACAAAACCAGTCTCCAGCAATACAATCGCAGTCAAAAAGTCAGCGATTGAGAGAGCACAAAACAGAGAGTATTAGAATAAATGTGCTCCATTCTATTCTCTTGTGCTATTAATGCTCTTTGAATATATGAGGGGCTGTCCATTTCAAGATAATTACTGTATATGCCAAACAAACACCATGGATTGACCACACCAACATGTTGGCCCTTCACTCCCTCGCTCAACTTTGGCATCTTGCAAGTGGCCAACTCTCATTCACATTTCCACTCTCACTCTTACATCCTCTCTCTCTCTTTTAATGCACGTACTATCGCTATTTGGGAAATGCTATTCTTCTGCTAAGAGCTAACCACAACTCAACTCCAGTCAACTATACAGCTCTACAAAATGCACGACATTCTCGCTTATCTAAATGGCATGTAGACTCGTTGGACGTGTGACTGCTTCTGCTTTGCTGGAGAAACCAACTTCTACGTGGAGAATTTTGCCTTTTAGTTTCTCAAGTTTGGTCGTCGACGTCGCGTTGCGTTTCGTTTACGACGTTTGCGTTTTTGTTTTATACATTGTCATTATTGCTCCGGTCTCAATTTGAAGTGTGTGATTGTGCTGAGAATTTTCCATGAAGAAAATCTATCAAAAGCTAAAAAAGTAATTAAAACGAAATTTTCCAAATACAAAAGTATAAATTTTAACACATCTCATAGTGTTTGCAAGTGTTGCGAAGGCTTTCTAAATTCTCCAAGCAATGTAATCGTTGAAAGTATCTAACAGATGCGTGACGTATATGAATTTTGATTTTTTCCGTCTTCGTCTGTCTACCCAAGGTGGTTAAGTGTATGGTGTAGTGAAATAAATGGAATTTGGGTTGTTTTATTTTTCATCTGCTATATGACCGCAACCTTCAATAACTCAATAAAACTTAATTATTATACAGACATGTGTGTGCGTGTGTGTGTGTAGTACGCTGCAGTCGATGTGTTAATTTATAAACTAACATAAACTTCCATCAAAAGTTGTTGCCCTCTAGAGACAATCGTGTAGATAATAGTAGGTCGACATTTGGTGTATCAAAAACGAAGAAAGATATACAATTACGCGTTAACAGCAAAGCAAAAGTTATTCCGCCTTGTCGCTGCTGCTTTTCCGGTTGTAAGGTGTTGTAAATGAAAGGGCAAATGCGCTCGTGGGGCGGAAAAGCAGCGAGAAGCCGCTCGAATGAGTCACTTTTCAGCTTAAATGAAAAAAAAATGCGGTCAACTAACGCAACGCGCGTCATTGTAAACAAATAGAAAGAGCATTTCCGCTCAAAATTTGTGAACCTTTAAGATTCCACGAGAAATCATTAGACATTGCAGTAGTCATACGTGCTATCTTTGATTGATAATATTGCCGCACGCTATATATGTGCTTGTGTTGGGGCATACATATATAATTACTCATTTATGTTAACGCCAATTCAAAGTGTTCGCTGCAAGTGTATCTCCTCATCTGTGCATCATTCTATATTATTGGTTTTATTTTATTTTCACTCGTCTTTTCTCGCTTTTTGTGCCAAATCAATTTGACTCTGTTGGTGATCATACTCATTGTCCAAACGAATTTCTATATACATTTCTTTGCCTGTCTTCTTGTTCGCCTTTGACTTGCTTACTTTTATATTCGCTCATGTGTTCCAAGTTCTCATTCTCTTAGTCATTGTTCGTATGGACTTGACTCGTTTTCTAAGTCTCATATATTTGGTGTTATTTGATTGCTTGTCTAGTTGCCTCTCATAATTATTTGTTTATTTTCGCAAGCGTTATTGATATACATATATTTTTTTCTGCTGCAATTTAATTAGTTAGCAAAAACTAAATTAAAATAAAATATATTATTTTGCAACGTATAACAACTACTTTGTTCTTTAAGCCGCTTTTTATCGAGTTTAAATGTTTGTTTACAATTAAATTTGTTTCGATTCGTATTTTTACTTCCTCTGCTCTTAGTAGGATGTGTGTATAATATATTGTTCTACTATTTATGTTCAAGCATGGCTTTTCGGTTGTATCGTTTTTATTGTCATATTGATACGCCCACGAGCAATCAATCTCTATCAGCGTTGGCGACAAACAACTAGTTATATTTTACAGTTTTTTTTTATTTTTTCTTTCTTTGTGCAAATGGAAAATAAAGCAATTTCCACAGTGTTAGTTGTATTGATTTTGCATAGGCATGCGAAGGCTTAATATTTTTATTATACAAAATAAGTGGCGCGGTGTGGTGAAACACAATATCAAGATGGATACCAGCGTTTAAATAGATTGTTTACTAATTTTATTGGAGACATTGTTAATTTAGAGACATTTCTTTTTAATAATTATTGTTAATACAGTGGGGTTTCCCCAAACTCCCCGAACTTTTAAGATTTACGGAAGGAAATTTGATTTTTATTGCCAATTCAAGAGTTCGGGTTATGACAACTTCAGAGTTATGGAAGTTCAAGTGTAATTTATTAAAAATCAAAAAAAAAAATACATACTCTTAACTGTTTTTGTAAACGCAGCTTACTGCTATAATATAATATAACAGTTTTTATGATTACAACGTCGTTATTATATATAAATGTTTAAATATATTTTCCACAAATAGTTTAGCATTTTTCAATTATGTTGTTGCAACTCCTCCTATTAAGTGAATATGTAAATTAAAGAAAAACTTAATTTCTTTACTTTAGTTTTACTTAAGCGATTAGGTGTAGTCAGAGACATGAGAAAAAGTCAATTTTAAATAATTTTGGTTTGCCAATAAACTTTTTTAATGAATAAAAGTGAAACCAAAGAATCAGTAAATACGGTTTCGACTTGACAGAAATTTTAAAAAATTAAAAGTAATGACTGCTTGTTGATCAAGTTCCAATCATATCTCCTTGCAGTGACCATCACTAATCTTTGGAGATTAATCTAAAATCATTCGAAAAAAAATTAGTTGAATAAATGTTTGAAAAAGTAGACGTAGCCCGCCCTTAATCAGTTTAATGTACATATCTCCTAAACCACCAAAAATACAACAACAAAATTCGCTTATCGCAAATATTATACGAACTCCTACCAACAGTGTGAAAATGGATAAAATCGGAAACCCTGCACACCCTGCAAGGCCTGAGAGGCCTTTAATGAGTCGGGGTCAAAATTGGTCGATGGGCGTTGCACCGCCCACTCTTAGGTGAAATCACATTTCCCAAGTCAATATGATAATAAAAGTCGGTCAATATGTGAGATATATAATTGAAATTCAAAGAGAATCCTTTCCTTTCCTGTCTGTGTGCTACAAATGGGTTGAATCTGGTGAATAATGCCCGTAACCCCATATACCTAATATTAAGATTTTCGTATTTCCGTAGGTGACTTGTAACGGTGCATATTTGTGCTTAGAATGAATAAAACTCGCCCTAGATCCCATATAACTAACAAGCGTTATGTATCTGTAGGCACTTCTCTGGGTTTAATGCTTCCAAGTTGCAAGAGTATAAAATTTTACCCCTACTTATTCCTTCCTTACTTGTGAATTAGTCAGTTTTAAAAATGTTCACTTACTGACATTTTTTTTTTTATTATGTAACGTACAAAATATTTGTTTTCAGCAATTCAATCCTGAACAAAAAAATCTTCGAAAACAAAGAGAGAAGAAAAACAATATGCGAAAGATTGACACAGATATTTACATAAGTCTCTACGAGTATTATCTTTAAGATATATCACAAATAACAATTTTTTAACTACTTAATGTACATATATAATCGATAATTTCTAACAAAAACTGTTGTTTTACTTTGTATACTTTTCATGCACGTTCATCGTTAATGTGAAACCCATTTAAAATATCAGTAATTTTGAATCCATCCGACTTTGATTATCTACTCACAAAAGGCAATAATAGCGCGCCAATTGATCGCAGTTCAATATTACTGAAATTCGATCCGTTGCTCGGCGTGCCAGTACCTGCAAATCAAGTGCAACAACAGAAACCAACAAAGCAAACACCACAAATATTACAAAACATTTTAGGAAGTAATCTAACAAACTTAAGTCCTACACTCGAAGAGGACGAGCACTCATCATCAGCGTCCACATCATCCATTAGCAATAATCAATCGTTTGTTGTTGAGACCGATAATAAAAGGAAATCTGACGAAGAGGAGAGTACCAAGTCAAAACAGAACTTTATTAAGATTTTGGCAGAGAAGCAGCAACGCCAACAACAACAATATCAACAACCAACTGTTTTAAAGGTGAATATGGATAATTTAAATCAAACCGAAAGAATTTAATGAATATATAATTTTTTTAATACATAGAAGCATGACAGTATGAGTGTCGACGTGATTAAGGATATGAATATCGACAACGATTGTAACAAATCCTTTGAGAATTCAAAGTAAGTGAAAATTTTAGAAAAAAAATTTGACATACCTCTAAGCGCCGGTTTCTAATATGTAAATTATTAGAATATGCATAGATTAATTACAATTAATTGGATTTTATTAGAAACGCGGTCGAAGCTTAATATATAATTATAAAAAAAGTTAACGGCTGAACCTAAGCCGCAAGGATTATTTTTTAGGGCACTATATGTATTATTAAATATATTAAAGTAACCTGCTGACTGTTTGCAACCAACGCAAACAGTTTTTTCTATAAATGGTTTGAATCGGGTCAATACTTCCCTTAGCCCCGATATACCTAATATAAAGATTTTCGAACTTCCGGATGGCTCTATACCGCATATATCGGTCAATATGTGAGTGATCTAAATAAAAACGGGAGAGAGTGTTTTTCTTATAACGGTGCACATTTGAGCTTAGAATAAGTAAAATTGGATGAAAACTCGCCCTAGACCTCATTTAACTAACAAGCCTTATGTACTTGAAGGTACTTCCCCGGCTTTAATCCTTGCTAGTTGCAAAAGTATAAAATGTTCGATTATACCCGAAGTTAGCTCTTCCTTACTTGTTATTGTTATTGTTGTAGCGGTAAAAAGTGAAGTAATTTCGAAGAATGGTGTCGAGTTGAAAGTTCTTGGCGGGATAAAAGTCGGCTTCCGTTCCGATTACTTACACTTGACTGTCGTGGGAACGAGCGAATATTCGCCGTATTCGCTGCTTTATGTTTAAGCTCTGCTCTCTTGTCAAAAAATTTACGTTTTATATTTGATTATTTGACAGATAAAACCTTTTACTTTTTTATTTACGTTTAAGTATGACGGTTTATTTATCCTAGTTGACTCTAGTTGAAGAATTATATCTTTTTTAAAAACAATTGTTGGCCCCGCGCTATATCCTAATGTTTTCTTTTTCACTATAGTCGATTCTATTTATTTTTCATATAAGATTCGAACTAATTTTACTTTTTCTTACCGCTACTAGCTCACAACCCGATGAAAAACAAATTAACTACAAAATGGATGAACTCGAGAAGAAAATTAAAAACGAAGTGTAAGTCATTGCCCTTTAATAAAAATCAAATTCAAAGATAAATTTATCAGTGGCGCTAATGCTAAACACTGTTGGTGGAGCGCTGAAAAATAAAATATTAAGCTATTTTTCACTATATTTGGCATATCTGCAAGATGTCGTTTTAATTTGGCTGCAAGCTTTTGTATTTTCCATACAATTTTTGCTTCACTAATAATTTATTTATTCATTGCCTTTTTTAGACTCAAAACAGAAGATATCGAAAAGAAATTGAAAGAAGCTGAACAGCGTGAGGAGGCATTAATCAAACGGATAACGGAAAAAGACAAAACAATAACAAAAATGACGTAAGTGCCTAATATGCAACCGCCCACACATTATGTATTTTAATTAATTATATTTGCCTCTTTGCTAATGCGTACAAATATTTCACTTCTTGAATATGTTCTTTTGTACATGTACAAAAATAAATCTGAATCCGACAACTCTGCGGCGCAGCGGGGTCATTGAAGCGTACGAAAAAGCAATTGCTGAGCTAATCGCTGAAAAAGAGCAATTATTACAAAGCTACGAGAAACAGTTGGCGGAGGTCAAGGCGGATCGCGACTCGAATTATCAACATCTCACGTCACTCGAAACGACATTTGCTGATCTGCATGTGTAAGAAAGACTGGCTTTATTTGTGATATTTTTACTCAAATATCTGCATCTTTCTTTTTCAATCAACTAAACAGCAAATATGGCAAAAGTAAGGAAATGACGCTGCAGCTGAAGGCAGACGAAGAGGCTTTAGTGGTAGAGAAGCGGCAAATACTGGAGAATTTGCGACTTCAAGAGCAGCGATATGAAAAAATGAAGAATCATGCGATGCAACAGTTGGAAATGTGAGTTAAGCCTTTGCGAATAAGAACCCATTTTAGTGCGTCAATAATAATATCTTTTGCATTACTTGTCACACAGCGCCAACAAAAAGCTCGAATCGCTTAATAAAGAGCACAGTATCGAGACAACAAAACTGAAAGCACTACTCAAAAAGGAGGAAATCTCACGTGCCTCTATCAATGAGCAATTACAGCAAAAGTCCAGAGAAAATGCGGAGCTGGTTAAAATATGTGATGAACTAATTAATGGCCAGGGAAGTTAAGTGATTTCAGCGGTCAACGTCGGCAATGCAGCGACCTATGTATATCAAATGTTTGACCGATTTGCATATACTCTCAATAGATGTATGTGTGTTTTGTACTTGTTATGTATGAGCTAAGCCTAAATAGCGTAGCATTACATTGCATTACAATTACTCGTTATTAATAATTATTTAGTTGCCTGGTTAGCAAGCAATGGCGGCATAGTACAGTGTTCGTATGCCCACGTACGTACGTGCGTGTGTGACGCTCAAATGCCAGATGCGCTTAAGAAATGCATTCATTCAGTTCGCAGTCATTCACAAACAGTTGTGTGATTAATTTAAGAATTTTTTATAATTTAATTCTCCTTTTTTAATTTTCCATTGACATTCACAATGATTTGTATTGCACTTCTTTGCCGCATATAAGTAATAATTGTTAAGTAATTTTTTATGTAAAAATATGTAGGCAAATGAGTTAACAAATCCACAAGTTAGTTCGTGGAAATCAATAAACACACATAAACAAACATTTAAACACGAATATTATTACCTCGAAACATATGTACATACATGGAAAGAGGCAAACAAAATATATACTATCATAACTTACTGTGTGTTATGTACTTTAATTGTAGATTCTCTTTAATAATTTGCATAGTTATGCTGTGAATATACTGATATGAATTTCACTTCAAAGAAAACTAACTGTACAATCTCTTTAAATTTTAATTTTTTTATAAAAAATCAAAATGTTTAGAATTAATTTGTATTAAATTGTATTAATTTATTAATGTTTAGTTTTCCCTCAAACTGCCGAGCCTAAAATACATAGCTAACATTGGAAATATTAAATCGAATTTTATTCTGCTGTTTTATACTGAAAATTATTGTTACATGGACTTTATTTAAGGCGCCGCCTATGAAATACATATTTTAACTATAATCCCACAACGGTAAACTAGTAAAAACCGTTAGTTTAGTTGAGTGCTGCATTTTTCAAGCATCTTCTGCTCCATATGCGACAAGTCTTGAAATCAATAGGTATTAACTCGCTGTGTAATTATGTTGATTATGAAGTTCCGAATATTTCACTCTCAATTTTATCTAAGAAAAATGGAAGTAGTATGATAGCAGCGAACATAGCGAATATCTATATAAACTTATTAGTTAATATAGTTTTCTTCTAATTTTTCAGTATTTTATGTATAAACACATATTAAACACCTTATATTTGTCTGCATGGAACGAGGCGTCCAGATTCAAGTTCTCACTTTTCAAATTGAAAAGTAAAACGTTGAAATTTCTAACGACTTGTACTCGTTATTGTTATTCTAATATAAAATTATTTGCATTATTTTATTAATATTTATTTAATTTATTATTATTTATTTAGTTTATTATTATTTGTGGCATGTTTCCCACTTGCAACTCATAATTATTAATTTTAACTATATTTTTTAACAAAATACTAAAACATCCAGCGTGCATACATACATTCACAAGATGAAAAATAGATGAATCTCAAAAAATATCTTCCAAAATAGTTTACAACAACACATAAGAAAAAGTATAAAATTTTATAAAATTATCTAAACAAATACACTTCTCAAATGCAGATGTACTTAAGTACTTAGAAACTAGCACACACGCACACACTAAAGTCAAAAGTCTCATTTACATAAACTTTTGGCTTTGTCGACTTAATTTTTTTGCGAGAATGTGGAACTGAAATGTGCCCGTATCGTAAACGTCTTAAATCTTCATAACACAACACTGTAATAGATATGTATATTTACATTGTATCTATTGGCCTATAAATATAAACATCTCTACGTATATAATTTTCCTTAATGGAAAGGCTTGCCCGAAATTACTGCAAGTGAAATGAAATATTTTTTTAAGATACTAAACTAAAAACATAAATACATAATTACATTATAACCTAACATAAATGTGAATGAACCAATGCAAAATGAAACGCTATGTAAGATTTTGTAATAATTTAAGTCGAAGATTTTGGATTGCTTTATTAAACATATGCACTGTACATATAGTACATATGTGTATGTGTGTGAGTTTTCTATCGCATTTGCAGTTTTGTTGAATCTATGCGCTATAAAATCGTGGGGAATAGGTGGTGAATTGAATATTTAAGTGGAAATGAATTGTATTTAAGTATTAATAATAATGAAAGTAATACAATATGCCTATAACTGAATTGCACATTGTAGTTGACCTAAGAGAGACATAAATAAGTTAAAAGAAAAGTTGATTTAATTGTGGATGATATTATAAAAAAATTAAACATTAATAAATACTTATATACAATCGCAGATTTAGTATCTTTTACTTTCGAACAACTGTTAGTACAATCGTTGGCAAATTTAAACTTTTGAAAGCCTTCGATTTGTGAGTTTATTTTAATTTTGTATTACCGTGGTAACGTGCTTGTGATAAATGGCAAATAGGTAAAACCGCCCCCTTATTTGAATTCCTTAATTTTCTATTCGTCTGCCTATGGGAAAGGACATATGTACATATGTATGTTTGCTTTAAATGCTTGCATAAATTACCAAGTGAAGCAAACGCATAACGCACGCATACACTTCTCATGTAGTCCCACTGTATAGTTACATCATCAAGCATAACGATTCATATGCAGAGGCAATATTAATTGCCCATAAATTTATTGCCAATGAGGTTGGCAAAACCGACATGCGTTTGAGGTCTTGTACCGTTCAGAAATTTAAAGAAGATGGCCAAAATTATGAAATGGAAAAAGTAGAAAATATACCCCAATATCTCGTAAACATTATAATGAGCTACTTCGAAAATAAGAGATTGTTATTCGACACGGACGAGGGCGCTCAGAGCTACACTATTTCGAGTGGAGTACGGCAAGGCTCGGTATTTCCCTCTCCCATGAAGTACTACTTAGTCCGTGGGAGTGATATGAGTTGGGATTAGGTTATGCTTAGCGGATTTAAGTCCCGCACTCCGGCTTTCCATGCTTCCCCTTTTAAAATTTGTACAAGCTGCTGGTATTCGGCATTTGTTTGTTTGTAGGTTTCTACATTGCCAATCTTAATGTCAATATATTTAAGAGATTGCTAACAATGTACATTGCCTGTGGAGATGCAGCGTTAAGAATTACTAATAACATAGTGTTATATAATTTTTTCACACATGCGTTTGATCATGAACTTTGACAGTAAAGTAGTGTTAATCACAGGAGCCAGCTCCGGTATTGGGGCAGCTGCTGCAGTAAAATTCGCTGAATTGGGAGCTTTACTAATTCTAAATGGACGTAATGAGGAAAATTTGAAGGCCGTAGCAGAACAGTGCTCGGCAGTTGGTAAGGAGCCACATTTGGTCATAGCAGATATATCAAAGGAAGATGACACGGAACGACTTTGGCAGGAAACTTTAAAGAAATATAACAAGCTGGACGTATTGGTTAACAATGCTGGCATCATAGAAATGGGTAGTATAGAGAATACTAGCCTCGGACAATATGATCGTGTGATGAACACCAATTTACGTGCTGTGTATCACTTAACAATGTTGGCTGTACCGGAATTGGTAAAATCAAAAGGGAATATCGTAAATGTATCAAGTGTGAATGGCATACGTTCATTCCCCGGTGTACTAGCATACAATATTTCTAAAATGGGCTTGGACCAATTCACTCGTTGCATCGCACTGGAACTTGCTCCAAAAGGCGTTCGAGCAAATTGTGTTAATCCTGGAGTAATTGTAACAAATATACACAAACGCGGCGGCATGGATGAAGAAACATACCAAAAGTTTTTGGAACATTGCAAAACTACACACGCTATAGGTCGACCTGGTAATGTAGAAGAGGTAGCAAATTCAATCGCATTTTTGGCCAGCGACTTGGCCACTTTTACGACCGGCACTAGTTTATCAGTAGATGGAGGACGTCACGCAATGTGTCCACGGTGATCTGATCACTTACTTAATGTGCCGTAATTGTTTTTTTCCTATGAATTTGTTTTAGTTTTTAGGGGGGTTATGTATATATGTATGTACATATGTATGTCTGTCTCTTATACACATCTAGATGTGTATAAGAGACAGATGGAGGACGTCACGCAATGTGTCCACGGTGATCTGATCACTTACTTAATGTGCCGTAATTGTTTTTTTCCTATGAATTTGTTTTAGTTTTTAGGGGGGTTATGTATATATGTATGTACATATGTATGTATGTTAAAATTGTATGAAAATAAAATATGATTTTTTTATTCAATTAGTGGTTTCATATAGTCTCAATAAGTTAAAAGCTATAACGAAACGAAAACACAACTCACAACTTGTCAACGCATCGTAAAAACATGAATTTTTATACTAGTTTAAAAAATTCATTGTTGAAATAAATTCTAATACTGGTTAAAGAATTCATTGTTGGATTTCAGACAAATATAAGTTTACGCAAAAACAACTGTTGTTATACTTGATCAGCTGATTTCTGTATACTTATGTTTGCTTTTGTGCCGTGGTTAGATTTGTGTTTAAACTTTAAAAGCTTTATTCTGAGAAAATCTCACAACTGAGTTGTGAGGTTTACAGACCTATGCTCATGCCTTCACAAAAATCACAACCTCGCTATTGTGAGGTTTTCCGTATGCGGACATGATTTCAAAGGCCAAATACTCACAAATACAAAATTGCTTGTGTTTGTTTTAATAATTTCAATATTTTTAAAGAAGTTTGCAATTATTTTATTGAAACAGAATGGAGGACCTACATACAAGTTTTTGTCTGTTACAATAAATATGTAACATACGGTGTTTGTACATTTTACTTCCTTCCAAGTATGAATAAAAAGACATATCATATTTATGTTTTTATAAGAATATTAAATACAATTATGCTAATTAAATGAGGTTTTAGACAAAAGCAAAGCGGGTGGCGTTGGTAGAGTTTTTGTCACAAAACAGGGATTATGATGTATGTATGTATATCTCTTAAATAAACTTAGAAGTAATATATTATGATTCAAATTATAGAAGCTAACGTCAACATTGTGGACTGGATAAAAAATGTTAGTTGCATCTATTTCAAGAGCTTTTCGAAATATAAATTAAGGGGTCTATGTTAAGAAATTCTTGATTGCAAGTAAATGTAATGAGTCTAAATTAAAAATTTAGCTTTACCGGATTTTTCAGGCCCGTTTTTTATATCTCACTTTTATTATTGTAAACAATGAAAGGTTTCAAAGCAACAGGTTTATTTTCTGTACTCAAATCAAAACAACTTTCCTACTGCTTTAAGCCGAAACTACATAACTCGCGTAAGCATGTGCGTACGCTTGACACATGAGTAGAATATACGTCTTATGCGTACAGCTCCATAGTCACATTCCTTTAAATTTTTGTTGTTGTTGTTATGGTAAGGGCTCAAGTAATTTCGAGACATGATGTCGTGTTGACAAATCTGGTCCTGTGATCATGGATGCTGCCGCAGAGCGGGCTAATTCGTCGGCCAGCTCATTGTCGGCTACCCCTTTATGCCCCGGCACCCAGATCAGGTGTACACGGTTGCAAACTGATAGGCGGTTCAACTTTTCTATACACTCCTCCACTAAACCCGATTTGACCTCATAAGCTGAGATGCTGTCAACTCCTGGTGTATAGCTCAAGAAAGAGTCCCATGCCCACTTGATTAAGTCTGCAATGAATAAATTTCTTGCAGCCGTCCAATCTGAGAGAACTGGTTTAGTGAGACAATTGGTAGAATTTGGTCAACCCGAACCATCTCCGGGAAGTGCGCCAGCAGGAGGGCTATTGCCCTGTGTTCTGTGCTGCTAACATAGGCCCCATCCTGTCTTTTAATGGATAATAGACAAGGAGACTTTCGTACAACTACAGATATCGGTCGGTCCCTGACCTTTACCTTCACTGCAAATCGTATGATCCTGTGATCTAACATTGAGGATTCTTGCGACACTTGCCACTGCAAGATCAATCTGGTAATGTATTCAGTGCTTAAGGTTATGTCAAGGACCACGCTTCTTATTATCGATACTTGCATTGGTACCTATTATAAATTCAAGAAGAGACTCACCCGTCGCATTACAGGCCGTGTGATCCGCATTGGTATTCGACTAAACTGAGAATCGACGGAAGGCGTGGGAGGTTGTGGTGCCGTAGCCGTCTCATCTAGCCAAGTGGCCGTCTTCCCGTTCTTACAGTCGACAAGGAGCAGGCCTGACCATGAAATGAGCCAGTGTATCCACACGAATGAAAATCTCATCTATGATACCACCCTGTACTGCTGTTAGCTGTTTCATCGTCTCTGCCCTTTCGCTACTACGTCTTTCCGACGGGGTTAATTAGCTGAGTACGCGCCGTACGCGGAGTTGGCTCGGTAAGGCCGCCGTTACTTCTCAAAGCGCGACGGTATTAAGAAAGCTCCATTAGCATCCAGTCGAATCAATCTCTTGGCGCGGTAAGACCACCGTTACTTCTCAAGACGGCCCGGTATTAAGAAGGCACCGTTAGTATCCGGCCGAATTTATCTCCTGGCTGCAATCATCCAAATGAGCAGTGCCATACAGCATCACTTTTCGACTTAAGCTTCTGCACCGCGACAAGGTGCCTGCCATTCGCAGAGGACTTAGACATTAATTTGTTATTGATCAGTATGCAATTTTTTCGCCATATACGACATACAAATTCAATTTACGTTAGTTCTTCAATGAAGAGGGTCAGGAATTAATATAATTATATATATGTATATATATCTTGTAATTCTCATATAAATTTATTATAAAAGCATGTTCTTGTATAAAACTTTATTTTTATCTCATTTTGCAAAGCATCATATTCTACATCTCCCATTTCGGAGTTGATACATATATTTTAATATTTGTTTCTACAAAACCATCAAATTAAAACAATATATAGTATGTGTATTGTATATTGTTATTGACCTCTATAGAGATCGATATTATTAATCAGATTATAATTTTGGTAATTATTTATTATCTAAAATAGATGCCACACCCGACAAACTCAAAAATTACACTAGTTCATTTCACTACAAACATCTTAAAGCATTTTATTGAAACTCAAGTTGAAATTGATAACCTGAACGTTTACGCTTTCTCATACAATTACGCCTATTATGTAGTTTTAGCTTTACAGCCGTTGTAAACAGCTGATGAATCCAAAACAAGAATGTCGAAAAAGAGATGCAATAATAATGTACAGAAATAAACACAAGTAACACTTATCTCCCGGTATTTTACATAATGATCAGTTCAGATTTTGTTATCAGCATTAAACCATGAACTTTGCGGGAAAAGTTGTGCTTATTACTGGAGCAAGTTCTGGGATAGGAGCAGCTACAGCAATAAAATTTGCAAAATTAGGTGCCTTCCTCGCTCTAAATGGACGCAATGCCGACAATTTGAAAGCTGTAGCAAGCCAATGTTCCTGCGTTGGTAAGGAACCAATTTTAGTTTTGGGCGATATTTCCAAAGAAGCTGATACAGAAAGGGTTTGGCATGAGACTATACAAAAATACAAAAAATTGGATGTATTAGTTAACAATGCAGGTATAATTGAGACAGGTAGTATTGAAAACACTAACCTAGAGCAATATGATCGTGTGATGAACACTAATTTACGAGCTATATACCACCTAACAATGTTGGCCGTACCTGAACTGGTTAAAAGCAAAGGCAATATTGTAAATGTTTCCAGCGTAAATGGAATTCGGTCATTTCCGGGTGTGCTAGCTTACAATATTTCGAAGATGGGAGTAGATCAATTTACAAGGTGTGTTGCTTTGGAATTGGCCGCCAAGAATGTGCGTGTGAATTGTGTTAATCCTGGTGTTACCGTTACTAATTTACACAAGCGCGGCGGTATGGATGAAGAAACGTACAAAAAGTTTTTAGACCATTCGCAAACAACACATGCTCTGGGTCGGCCTGGCACAGCAGATGAAGTGGCAAATGCAATCACTTTTTTGGCTAGTGATTTGGCCACTTTCACGACTGGAGTAAGCTTGGCTGTAGATGGCGGTCGACATGCTATGTGCCCACGATAATTGAGAAATGTAACAGAAAATTGCATTTATTTTTCATTTTGTATATTTAAATTGTATGTTCTTGTTAAAAAAGTTTTGTACTTTCCTTGATACCGCAAATAAAAAGTATGCATACATGTGCATAAATAATTTATTTATCGTCATATACTATGTATGTTAGTTGAAGCAACAGTGAAAAATATAAAAGCTTTTCAGTTTCTTTCTGTCAAAACAAAAAACAAGGCACGTTTCTAAATACGTACTCGTATATTTAGTAGCACAAATGTTTATTATGTTCTATGTTAGTATAAGACATTAATTTTCTCGATTAGTATTTTCACTTTCGTTTCAAATAATTTAATTTAAAATTTTTATATGTACGTACATACAGTATGTATGTATATTCGTTATATACACACCCCTTTGATGGACAACCAGCAATTTAAAAAGATGCGAGCACAGTAGAGTATATTATTTTATTTGTTTTTATTCCAATAGTGTCGCTTGTGGAAAATCTGCTTGCCAAATTGTCAAACAAAACAAGTTTATCAAAACGTAAAAATAGCCAAAAGCAATGGCAAGCGAGAGTATGAAAAGCTGCTCCAACGAACGATCTATAAGTTTATTTATTTGTTATTCAGTAGTTGCCAATCTTGCTATACTTGAATAATATGTTGATATGAATGATATGCACTAATCAATACAGTATTTCAATAAAAAAAATCGCCATGTTCCACAAAGTCAAAAATTCCATAATCTAACAAAGAGTTCATTAAAATTGTAATTACCTACCTTTCAGTTAATTAACAAAGATGTACACACATATGTATGTATAATAGTTCACTCTGACATTGCTTAAAAAGTTTGTCTACCACTGATGGCCAAGAGAAAAGTCCAGTGGGTGTGAGAGAGGGAGATAAAGAGGAGCTCTGAGCAAATATACATATTTATATGCGTACATACATTTATCCAAGTTGTATGAGTGACTATGTACAAGTTTACTCATATACGATCGATTCGCCTTTTGAATGTTATCTGCTTGTATAGCAAAGCGAATAAACAATATTAATAGACAACTGATTTGATAGACCTAACGTGATCACGTCTCTTAGAGCTGTTCAGACCACAACGCACAGTTTTCGTTGTTCGTTCTTGTGTATCGGTTGTTTCTTTAGCCATTTACTTAACTACCCATATCCGTTTGTACGAAGATAGACAGATTTTATTCTTATTCTGCATAATGTTTCCAATTGGATTCAATCATTCAATTGATATAGAGGAGCCCGTGGTTATTCCACCACCACCATCTCCTTTAGATTTTAAAAACAAAGTTATAATTATCACTGGCGCTTGCTCTGGCATTGGCGCCGCAGTCGTCATGGAGTTTGCCAAGTGGGGTGGCCTACTGACTGTTGCCGGTCGCAATAAGGAGAGCTTGCGTGCTGTTGCCGACA